GCCTTGGCCTCCCAAAGTGCTGGCATTACATGTGTGAGCCACCGCGCCCGGCCAGATTGGGGTTTTCTGAGTCCATTGTCACTCAGTGATACGTAACTGGGCACATCTTTTGCTAGGACCCTGGAAGCCATGTTACTGGGACCATTACAAGAGATATTGGTCTATGGAACAGGTTCGGGCTTCCAAGCAATGTCATCCTAGCACTCGGCAGTGTGGTTTTGTTCCCGGGCACCGGAGCTATCACGAGGGAGGGGCAGATTGGGCTAATAGCTCCTGGATTGCTCTGAGAAGCCCTCCTGCTGGAGAAACCTGGCTGTCACCGCCCTCTGGCACGCTGCCTTTCCTGTCTCCTCTCCTTCCACACAGCTGGGTAAACTGGTGTCCACTGTGGCCGGTTTGGGCCTTATGGGTGCAACAAGTGGCTTGAATTGAAGGCCACCAAAGTGAGAGCATGACAGGATGGGATCCGGAGCAGAAACGGGGGGTAGTGGTCTTTGCGAGGAATTGGGGCACTTGCAGAAGTGAGTTTTTGTTTGGTGGTGACAAGGCCAAGCACACACCCTTCCCCTTTTGCCTTGGTCAGCTGCCCAGGCCACAGACCTCTGGCTTCCTGTTCTTTGTCTCATGATTGATGAATGAAGGTTAGAATGGTTTGTCATGATTGGTTAGCTAGGTTTAGAACTGTTTGTTGTAGCTCTGTGTCTCCTGCGAAGCCTGGTCTGACAGCCCCAAGCAGAATTGACTTCCTCCTCTGTGGGCCACCCGGACCCTGTCCTACATCGGTCCCTGTCCCTGTGAGGCAGGCTTCCTCCCTTCCTCCGTTTCGTCTGTGAGTGTCTAAGTGTCACTTTTCACCCTCTACTAAACCGAAGCTCCTTGAGTTCAAGATGTATCTTTTTGTATTAATCTTTACTTCACAGGACTTACCAGCCTGGCCTCTATTCAGTAAACATGTGTTGAAGGAATGAATTTCCAGGGTAAGATATTTCTCATACCCTATATGTTTCTCCTATAAAGTTCAAAATGATTTTAGTCATGTAGATACTCTATGTAATATATGGTGCCGAACTGACTAGTGACTGTCATAAGAGCGATTACATGAGAAAGGCCGACGTGGGTGCGGGAGCCAGACTGCGTGGATTCGAATCCCTCATTCCTGGCCATGTGACCTGAGCTAGTTACTTAGGCTCTGTGCACCTCGCGCTCTTCATCTGTCAAGTTTCTCCTAGGGTGGCGGCGAGGATCGAAATCTTTAGTACGTGTGAGGACTTCAGAGAGCACAGAGTAAACCCTCCATGTGCGTGAGGTGCCATGTCCCAGTGCCCCAGGCTGGTCCCGGGGTGCTAAAGAGGAATGTGCCGTTACAGGAATCATTGACCTTCAAGGACGTGTTCGTGGACTTCACCCTCGAGGAGTGGCAGCAACTGGACTCTGCCCAGAAGAACCTCTACAGGGACGTCATGCTTGAGAACTACAGCCACCTGGTGTCCGTGGGTGAGGGACCGCGTCACAGTGTGATGCAGAATGCCCCCAGTACTGTGTTTCTTTCTCAGCTGCTCCAAGCTCCGGGGCCTGGGAACAATGAGTGTGGGTTACAAGCCTCAGTGGGTTTGGGTTACAGCCCACTGTGTCATATTCGTAGTCCCGTTTGGACGCCGGACAGCATATTGGTGCCATTGCTTGCTTTGTGACTGTTCTGTACTGAGGGGCAGATAAGCTGGATGCATGGGGCCGTCACCGAGGCCGTGCCACCTTCAGCCTGCAGGGATGGGCCTAGGTTCTGGAATTCCTCAGCTTTAATAACGAAGTCCTGTGTCATTTCCCCTGAACAGGGTATCTGCTTGCCAAACCAGATATGATCTTCAGGTTGGGACCAGGAGAAGAGTCCTGGAGGGCAGATGGAGGGACCCCGGTGCGCACCTGTGCAGGTGAGGACAGGCCAGGTGAGTCAGGCCGGGGAAAGGGGACCAGGTTGGTTCGTGAGAGCTTGGCTTCTGGGATGCGCTCAGGAGCCCTTCTAAGAGCCCCGGACTTGTGGACACGCCTAGACTGATGAACGGAGGTATTGTCATGTGCACATGAGGCCTCTGCCTGGCAGCCAGTTACAGTCTCTGTGTTCTTTGCTTGGCGTTCACATAGGTTGTGGCCACTCTTGTTCTGAGATCCCATTTCTACCTTCCAGCCTCCTGGCTTGCTGGTGAGAAGTGCCAAGCCCCTTCTCATTCCTCTCCCACCACCTTTATGGAAGTGTTTAAGACTTATTCTCCTACCTTCTTGGCCTTTTGTATTTTCACCATAGTAGATGTATTAATAGATGTCAGCATTTCCTCTTTACTGGGCATACTGTGGGCCCTTTCAGGCTGAAAACGTAGAGTCTTTTTTTTTTTTTAGCCTCAAGGAAATTATCATACATGATATTTTGGGGTTGGTATAGGCAACAAAGCTTTGCCGGTGACCTTCACTCTACCCAGCCTGGTACCCACCATGTTCCTGCCTGCTCTCACTTTGTAGTTAACACTGTAAACCTCACACCGTTTTCTATTTTCCCTTCGTATTCCTTCTCAGATCCTTACAAATCTGACTTGATGCCACCTGTTTTCAGATTCCTCCTTTTCAGTAACTTCCTCCCACTCTACTCTTATTTTTTGTATTATCTCTTTATTTATTCAAAAATAAACTTGAGAGAACATCATTCCTATGGTGGAATACTTCATAAAACACTGCTAAGCTGTTTTCCAATGTGGCTACACCACTTTTTCTTCCACCAGCCATGTATGAGATTGCCACGTGTTTCTGATCCTTGCCAGCACTTGCTATTTTTAGTGTTAGTCTTTTTTTCTAGCGGGTGTGTAGGGGGATCTCATTGTGATTTTATCGTGCATTTCTCTATTCATGAATATTGTTGAGCCCTTAATTGCCATCTTTACATCTTCTCTAGGAAGTATTTGTTGTAATCTTTTGCCATTTTTCTTTGCTATTAAATTGTAAGGAGACACACACACACACACACACACACACACACACACACTTTTTTTTAAATTTTGAGATGGAGTCCTGCTCTGCTGTCCAGGCTGGAGTGCAGTGGTGCGATCTCGGCCCACTGCAACCTTCACCTCCCAGGTTCAAACGATTCTCCTGCCTCAGCCTCCCGAGTAGCTGGAATTGCAAATGCATGCCATCATGACCACCTAACTTTTGTATTTTTACTAGAGATGGGGTTTCACTGTGTTGGCCAGGCTGGTCTCGAACTGACCTCAAGTGATCCACCTTCCTCAGCCTCCCAGAGTGTTGGGATTACAGGCGTGAGCCACCACGCCTGGCTGGTTCTTTATATATTCTTGATGCAAGTCTTTTAAGTACGTGCTCCCAGGTCGTGGCTTCTTTTTTTCTTAACTGTGCTTTGTAGAATAGATGTTTTTTATTTTGGTAAGACCCAGATTATCGAGTTCTTTTATGGTTCATGCTTTTTGTATCCTATCTAACAAATCTCTGACTCAGAGAATGGAGATTTTTCTCCTGTGTCTTCTTTTAGAAGATTTATAATTTTAGCTCTTAATTTTAGACCTATGAGAAAGAATGAGTTAAGTTTGTAAATCTGACATGAGGTGAGGGTCAGGGTTTCTTTTTTCCATTCCACAATCACATCGTTTATTCTTATTTTCAAGGTAGTATTAAGTGTCCATATTTCTTAAACCACATTCAAGGAAATCATGTCTTAACTATTTTGGATGTTTCCTCTCCTTATCTTGTACATGAAACTCCAGCAGATTTAATACTCACATCCATCATCTAGTCAAACCTCTTACATGTTCTTCAAACCAATCAAATTTGGGCTTCTCAACATTTTCTGTGTCAATAAAAGGTGTGGAATTAGTAGATTGGATGAAGACCTGTATTTTCTTGCCACATTGGACTTCAGACGCCATTTGGATTCGGTTTAGAAGATGGGGAAGTACGGATGTTTCTTGGCCTGAGTCTCTTAACAGTAGAGATGTAGAAGAGAGAGTGAGACCATGAAGAGACTGGCTGTTGACTGCAGGGCACCACCAGCTACCTTGGTGGTGGCATTAGCCGGATTTGGGGCAGCCAAAGTACTCTGGGAGGAGTTACTTGAAACTGTTACAACAGCTGTTTGATTGGAATAAATTTGTGTGGGTAGGAGCAGTGCCAGCAGCAGCAGCCCCAGCCTGAGCCTGGCCACCATTGCTCTGCCCTTGTCCCCTCCGTCGGTGTGCGGCGTGTCTCGCTGGATGCTGGGTGCTTGGAGAACCGCTGGCTCCGGGCAGGCACAGACAAGGTTGAGGGTCAGGGTTTTTTTCACATGTATATCCAATTTTTTTCAGCAGCATTTTTGAAAATACTCTTTTTTTTTTTGTTGACTTACTTTGCCATTGTTGCTGATAACTTTTGAATGGCCGGGCACAGTGGCTCACACTTGTAATCCCAGCACTTCAGGAGGCTCAGGTGGGAGGATCAGTCGAGCCTAGGAGCTTGAGACTAGCCTAGGCAACATAGTGAACCCCTGTCTCTACAAAATATTTTTAAAATTTGTCAAGCATGATGGCATGCACTTGTAATCCCTGCTACTTGGGAGGTTGAGGCGGGAGGATTGCTTGAGCATGAGAGGATGTGGCTGCAGTGAGCCATAATCACGCCAGTGCCACTCCAGCCTAGGTGACAGAAGAAAACCCTGTCTCAAAAAAAAAAAACCAAACAGTTGAACAGAGATTCATGTGTCTATACATCAGTAATATACTGTTTAATTACTGTAGCCTTATGTTAAATGTTCAAATCAGGTAGTATGAATCTTCCAACTTTGTTCTTCCTTTCCTAATGTTTTGCCTATTCTAGGTCCTTGGTATTTCTATATAAATCTTAGAATCAGCTTGTGAATTTGTACACAGAAGCCACGGAGATTTTTATATGGGATTACACTGAATCTGTGGATTATTGATATACTGACAATATTGAGTCTTCCAGTTAATGAATAGCATGTATCTCTATTTAGATCTTCTTAAATTTTATCTCAATATTTTGTAGTTTTGAACGCACAAGTCTTTCACATTTTGTTTAATTCATCCCGGCATTTTATGTTCTTTGTTTGTTTGTTTGTTTGTTTTTGAGATGGAGTTTTGCTCTTGTTGCCCATGCTGGAGTGCAATGGCACGATCTTGGCTCAGTGCAACCTCCACCCCCCAGGTTCAAACGATTCTTCTGCCTCAGCCTCCCAAGGAGCTGGGATTACAGGCATGCACCACCACACTCGGCTAATTTTGTATCTTTTAGTAGAGACAGGGTTTCTTCATGTTGGTTGGCTGGTCTTAAACTCCTGACCTCAGGTGATCTGCCCGCCTCGGCCTCCCAAAGTGCTGGGATTACAGGTGTGAGCCACTGCGCCTAGCCAATTTGCAGATATTGAACCAGCCTCTCATTACTTGTGTAAACCCCACTTGATAATGACCTATCATTCCTTTGATATGCTCTTAGTTTGCTCATATTTTGTTATTTTGCATCTATGTTTATTTGTCATAATTGTAGTTTTCTTCACTTACACTGTTTGTGTCTGGTTTTGACATCAGGGTTATGATGGCCTCATAAAATGAGTTGGAAAGTGTTTTCTCCTCTTCTGTTTTCTGAAATTTATATAGAAATTATTTCTTAAATGTTTTGTAGACTTCATCAGCGAAGGCATCTGGGCCTAGAGTTTTCTTTGAGGGTAAGTTTTGAACTACAAATTAATTTTTTTTTGAGATGGAGTTTTGCTCTTGTTGCCCAGGTTGGAGTGCAATGGTGTGATCTTGGCTCACTGCATCCTCTGCCTCCTGGGTTCAAGCAATTCTGCTTCAGCCTCCTGAGTAGCGGGGATTACAGTCACCTGCAACCATGCCTGGCTAATTTTTTGTGTTTTTAGTAGAGACGGGATTTCACCATGTTGGTCAGGGTGGTCTGGAACTCCTGAACTTTTGGCCTCCCAAAGTGCTAGGATTACAGGCATGAGCCACTGTGCCTGGCTACAAATTCATTTTTTTAAATAATTACAGGTATATTCAGATAACTCTTTTCTTCTTGAGTAAGCTTTGGTGGTTTGTGGCCTTGAAGGAATTTGTCTCATCGGAACTACCAAGTTTTTGATACAAAGTTTTTTTTTGGCCAGGTGTGGTGGCTCACACCTGTAATCCCAGCACTTTTGGAGACCAGGGTAGGCGGATCACAAGATCAGGATTTCAGGACCAGCCTGGCCAACATAGTAAAACCCCGCCTCTACTAAAAATATAAAAATCAACCAGGCATGGTGGTGCGTGCCTGTAGTCCTAGCTACTCAGGAGGCTGAGGCAGGAGAATCGCTTGAACCCGGGAGGCAGAGGTTGCAGTGAGCCAAGATCATACGACTGCACTCCAGCTTGGGCAACAGAATGAGACTTTGTCTTAAAAAAAAAAAAAAAAAAGTAAATTAATTAAAGGTTTTTTCATAAGGGTTCCTTATTATTTTTAATATTTGTAGGATCTGTAATGTTGTCCTCCAGATATTGATAATGTATATTTTTTCTTTTCTTGATCAGTCTAAGATGTATCAATTGTATTGATCTTTTCACAGAACCAGCTCTGAATTGTGTTTATTTTTGTGTTTTTCATTTTCTATTTCTTTGAGATAGAAAGAAGTCCCTATTGATTACTGTATCATGCATACAGAAGAGCATTTAGAACACATGCATAGTTTTCAAAAGAAACATAGCTAACACCTGTATAATCACCACTCAGGTTGAGAACTACAACTCTTACCTCTCTCCTGTATGTAACCTGTATCCCAAATTCAGGGGTAATTATTTTTAGGATTTTGTTAGAGTTTCTGCTATCTATCTGTATCCACAAGCATATTGTTTAGTTTGAACTTTTCTTTTTTGAGCTTTATAAAAATAGAATCATCTGTATGAATTATTTTGTGACTTGTTTCTTTTATTCACTATTGTAGTTGTGAGATTCAGCCATGATGTTTGTTTTCATTGCAGGATAGTGTTCTAGTTTGGGTATCACACAATTAAAAGTACCTACAAAATTATTTATTTTTTAGAGACAGGATCTCACTCTGCTACCTAGGCTGGCATGCAGTGGTGTGATCATAGCTCATTGCAGGCTTGAACTCCTGGGCTCAAGCAAACCTCCTGCCTCAGCCTCCTGAGTAAGCAGTATGTACCACTGTGCTTGGCTATTCTTATTTTTTATGTAGAGATGGGGTCTCATTATATCGACCAGGCTGGTTTTGAACTCTTGGCCTCAAGCAGTCCTCCTGTCTAGGTCTCCTAACGTGTGGGATTACAGGCATCAGCCACTGCACTCAGCTAGTATTTACTCTCCTGATGGAGTTTCAGTTGTTTCCGGTTTAAGGCTAGTATAGCTAATGATAATACTGCCATTATTTTACATGTTTGCTAGGAACATTTGCTGTGAGAGCTTTACTCATGTATATACCTAGGTTGTGGTGTCTGGGTTCTGGAGGTGTGAATCATTTATAGATAAGGCCAAATGTTGTTTTTGATGTTGTTGGTTTGTAAAGCATTTGTAGATGCTCCCTCCGTGTCATTTCTGCTTGTCAGACTTTTATTTGTTCCCATTCTGGTAGGTGTGTATTAGTATCTTATTGTGATTGAAACTTTCATTTCCTCGATTAGTAATGTCATTGATCCTCATTTCATATTTTATAGAGAATTTGAGTGACTTGTATAAATCTTACACAGCACCTGCGTAAGTCTTCTACTCATTTTTTTTCTTATGGTATGTGCCGTCCTCCTACTTATTCGTAACACTATTTTCTTTTCTTTTCTTTTTT